GAGAGAGAGAGAGAGAGAGAGAGAGAGAGAGAGAGAGAGAGAGAGAGAGAGCTGTGTTTACGTGTTTATAGAGGTTGTTAAGACGTGAATTATTCTGTGATTCTCTTTCCCTGCTTTCGTCTGCCATAGTGATGGGGTTTTTTTAGACTTTTAACCAACATGCAAGTGGTTCTTTTAGATGGCACTACGCCATTTTCTCTCTTGCGAAAGAGGCCCAAGTGCTCACTTGAAATGCACTTCTTGTTTGATTGCTGATCCAACCATGATGCTTGGTTAAAGAAAATTTGGAGATGAACTTGAGACAATCAGAAGGTCAGAAATGATCGATAGCGGTGCTTACTAAGACGTTGCTCAGTAAGCTCAATATCCCATTCAATGTGCAGAGAAACCCAATGAACCCTGATTTCCGCTTGCTTTTCACAACAGGGATTCCTCTTTCATCCTTGACAAATTTCTCCTCTTTCATCATGACGTGACTGACATTAAGAGGGCATTTGACACCTTGTGAAAAGTTCTTGCAGCGTTGCATTTGTCAAAAATGAAATCAGAGAGTCAGCTGACTCAGACATCGCCTCACTGTCTGCGAACTGCTCAAGTTTCACAGTTTCCCTCAGAAAAATCAATGACCATAGATGAAGATAATATAGTTTGGCATGCCATCTCGATAGTCATTTTTTATAAACAATATTTGTTTACCAAGCAGCTTGCTTGCACGGCCTAGATTGTTCTGCCACTGAATTGTATTCAGTACACAAATGCACAGACACTTATTTCTCCATTGTCAAAAATATACAGCTTTCAGGGAGAAGAAAGAGAAAGGAAAGAGGTATCAGGATAATTAAATGGGTTGGATGCTTTGGGGAGTTTACTTTAAAGTAAAGTAAGTTTGGAATGCCAGCTCCACATTTTTTTTTCCACAATTTGTTTAGCTATAGCAGTTTGCCTGAAACGCCAAGATTGTCTTGCCGCTGAAAGACACTCACTACACAAATGATCCCGTACTTATTACATTATTGTCAAAAATATTATACAGCTTTCAGGCAGAAGAAAGAAGAAGGAAGGAACTATCAGGGTAATGGAATGGATCGGATGGTTTTGGGAGTTTACTTTAAAGTACTGTTTTGGCCTTCTTTGTTTTCTCCTCATCAACCAAAAATCCCTTACACTTTTAACTCTGTGAGATGCGAAAAAAAGTTAACTTTCTCTTTTGTAACAGGGTTTCAGAGATGTGTTTTCAGATTTCCCCTGCAATACAGCTGTGGCACACTAATGAAGTCGCTCTGTCGTAGTTTGTGTAATTACCATCACACACCACCGCGAGAACAGAGACCCCAAGCTCTGCTATTAATGTTACCTTGATACCTGAAGGTGTCATCCATGGCTCAAAGGTTGACGTGTAATGACCCGCCTCGCTAACTGCCGTCACGCATTTTTTCATGTTGAGTCGAGTCTATGACTTGATGTTGTCGGTTCATATTGTGCCTTGTCCACCCTTAGACTTTGTGCCCCACATCTTGTCTTTGAGTGTTTCCAACAAAATAGCCTGGTGGTGGTTTGTAGGTCAACGTATTGGTTTTTCAACGTTCTATTTCTTTTAGCGAGATTTGTCTTGTCAAGATAATCTGGCACACCTCATGGTTTGTCTTTTGTTTGCCTTCTAACTGATTCTGATGATTCTGTAGTCATTCTCATCTCAAGTGCAGATTCTCTTTCTTCTTTCTTTGCTTAAGTCTGGGTTTAGTACTCTTAGCGCCATGTAGAAAAGAGGGGAAGACATAACTAGTGTCATCAATACTACGAGTATATGTGCCTGGCTAAGAGCATTGATATTAAATTGTTAATCAGGACCTAGCCAATTGGTTGCGTAAAATGTTGGTTTAGTCCAACGACCGTGACGGCAAAGTTTTCAGACGCCAGCCATCTGTCGACACTTTTATTTGCCTCTGTCATTTCATCATAAAACTGTTTGCCTGTTTTACAAGTCATTTACTACATGCTCTCATATATCATATTAAATTTCAATCTTTTCTGAACATGTTGGTGGGTAATACAGGCTAGTAGTTTAAAGCTCTTCTTTTTCATGATGAAAATGATAACATGCGTATTTTAAACAAAACTTGCAGCAACAAAACAAGGACTTGTATAAGTTATAAATAGTTTGTAGATGGCCGTGGTAGACTGAGCCCACAACTGCTTAGCTGCCCATGCCATAACTTGAGATTTTCTTATTTAGACTTATAACATTAAAAAACAGCGCTTCCTCTTTCTGTTCTTTATGCTTGCTGGATGGTTGGCGGTTGTTCCGTTGTGGGTTTTTTCTTCTATCCTACCAAATATCTGTCGTCCTTATCTTTCTTTTTTCTTTTCTGTGTATCTTGCTCTCTAGTTACGCAACTAATCACAGGCGTCGATGGTGTAGCGGTTTGGCGTTTCGCTGTGCTATCGCACGCACGAGACCCAATTTCGATTCCCGAGTGTGTTTTTGCGGAGGGGGGAGGGACGGGGAAGGAGAACGGGTGGATTTCAGTCGAGTATCTCAGTCTTTCTGATGGGATGGTGTTTAACTCTTAACCTGAGTTGACCCTGATAGGCAGGGTCAACGTCGCCTCCTTCATGATGTTATTCGTATCGATCGGGGGCGTAAAAACGTCTACAATAAAAATAAAAAAATATACACCTCTAATCTTCGACACTTACCCGACGTATTTGTGTTGAAAGCTGAAAAACTCTGCAGAAAACTAAACAAATTCTTCATGCTTGTCCATCTTCAACGTCTCGAGCACCTCTCTGTGGTGGGTGGTTAGAGGGAATCATTATACGTTTTACTATTTTACTATTCTAAATTGCTCTTACAATGCTGAGTTGTTTCTTTTTACTTAAACAAAATAAAACAAGCACCATTGTCAAAAACAAGGGTTGTAAATCTCTTGAGAACGATGTGGGAGAGCTAAAACTTTTTGGATGTAATTCTAATCTTGTGCACTATAAAAGTGCAACGATGCAGCAAAACGTTTCACTTAATCAGAATAAGTATCGCTTGTCCCTGCTGCCTTTACCTCATTTTTCTATCCGCACAAGAGTGTCCATATCAAAGTTATGTTTCAGAAAATAAAGCTCATCTGCGGAAAATAACTTCAAAGATCCCCTTTTCTCTATAAAGGCTGGAAATCATGGTGTCCTTTCTCTTTAATGTTTTAGGCAAACTTTTAATGACATTGATGACACTGGAGACCCAAAACAAAGAAAGAGGAAGGGAGTATCTTGGTAATGGAATGGATAGGCTGTTTTGACGAGTTTACTTTGAAGTACTGTTTGAGTCTTTTCTGTTTTCTTCTTCATAGCCGCTGAATCATATATGTTAAGTACAGGTACTTTGTT